TCTGATCGAATGGTTAAGCATAGAGCTGATATATAAACAATATGTCTGAGAGCCTACAAATGACCTCAACTTAAAACCGGTTTTATGATTATTAATAAAAATACACTAAATAGAGATAAAAGGAGCTTTCAGTTGATTTAAATAAAGTATTACATTAATAGCATATAGTATTATTTATTTTCTGAAATTATTTAATTTATTCAAAATATTATGATTTATAACATACATAAAAAAGACAATACGTCAGACATCCAATTATTAGAAAAATTGTTGAAAGACAAGACTGTGAAAATATATGTTGAAGAGTTTTAGATGAATTAAAACTGGCATAGTTTTTCAGCTATATACCAATGTATATAACATTTTCTTAAACGGCAAAATAACATAACATGATTGGATTGGATTGGACTACTCCACTGTAAATAAATCCAATTTAAAATAGCCCATTTACAGCCCATTTAAACTAACAAATTGTACACTATCATTTAATGACGTCTCATTTTGAGAAACATTATTCTAAACCAAGAGATGTACATTAGAGTATGTGTTGGTACAAGTATATATCTGTACTATATATGATAGATGGTGCTATATTAAAAGGACTACAATTCATACAGCATATTCTGTTTTGAATTTGTTACAGGAAGACTTTCTTGAACCTTTTAGTGGCGCAAATTTGCCATCAGTGATTTCTCATCACTGGCTTGTATTTTCGTTTTATTTTGGAGTTATGCAAAGGATCATATTTATGCAGCCAGTCCTCCAATTCCCGATGTTTTCAAATTTCTTGACGAACATCTGTGAAATTATGACCATACTATTGCTAACTATATGGCTATGGTTTAAAAATTATCCAGTGCTATCAAATGCATCAAAGAATGGGATGTTTGAAGGATATTGTATATAACATCTAATGGCCTGGTTTAGGTAATAAACTAAAATACCTATAAGCACTTAATAAAAATTTGAATCACAAATACATTTTATTCATGTTTCTTTTCGGTCCATTAAATATATTGTGTAACCCTGTGTTATAGAAGCTATAGGTAATCCAAATTTAAAAATGTTTTCAGTAGTAGTAAATTATTTCTACTAAACCCAACCAAAGCTTTACTTGAAAATTTTAATTGTATTTCTAATTTACATCTAATATACCATCTGGGTTATTAATTGTATATTTACATGGAATAGTGGAAATTCCATCTATCTTAGAATCCTCATTTTAAACCTACCTTACTTGTTATTAAATCAATCAAAAGGTTTTTGTAACTTTATATTCATAAACGTAATGTTCAATAGCAGTAATATGTTTAGGTCTTTATATATTCTATATTGTTTGCTAAATCATTTTCGCAATATATAATATTTATATTATTGCTTTTATGACTTGCTAATATTTTCTCAAAGTACTGCAGTCATGCCATTCATAATAAGAAAATCAATAATACTTCTGACATTATAGTCGGTGTACTGCAAAAAATTGTATTAAGAAGGAATGTCTCTTATAATATACTTTATATGTATATATATTTAATATTTTTATACGTATAAAAAAATTATTAATATAAATAATATTGATATCGATTATTTGACCATAGCGTGCAAAAAGTATATTTCCTTAGTGCAATTATAAGTTTATTATGTATATATTTGGGTATATACATATATAAGTAGAATTTTGCTATTAATTACAAATGTTTATGTAATATACTCTTCAATACATCTTTAAACAATAATAAAATGGAAAGCAATTTTTGTTTATAATGAAATTCTTTTAAGGAAAATATAATTTTCTCAGATACTTAAGATACCCAAAAGTATGTAATCCACATATACTCTTGTACTCCGCACGTCTGCTTACCTTTGAATATCGAATAAACTTTGAATTCGTGTTACAGAAAAACACTTAATATTTTTATTTATTTATTTTTGCCTGAAATATCTATACTAGTACATTTCAAGGCCGGATTATGTCATTTTAACTTCGTACTGTGCCATGTATTAAGTATTCTCCATATATTGGATATGACACTCGGTGAGGGTGACGTCGCGACGGACGCATTTAAAAAATTACCTTAATTATAGCGTGAGCTCATGCCATAAAAAAATGGCATTTCAACGTTAAAATTAAAATTATTGTAATATATGTTAATTGTTTTCTAGTAGAAAAAATTAAAAAAAAATTTAAATAATTTAATTTGGAATGCAGACTGTATCAGGCAAAAGAAAAGAGGAAAATTAAATTCTTAAAATTTTAATTAATTTTTAAAGAAAGTGGATGGTTAATGTTTTTTATACTATATTCTATATGTAGGTTACAATAAAAAAGTTTTCATTACCAGGTGGAATAACATTCTTGATGATATATAATGCCATAATAACCTATATGAGAGCTGAACACTGGTTCAGTAAATCCGCACACGTATTACTTAATATCTATTAAGTACAATACAGCAATAGTAATAAATTAACAAATAGTTGAGATTGTACTATTAATATCCAATAAAGGATCATTTAAAAAAAATAATAACAACCTAATCTTTCACTTAAGTGTACTTCATACAAACAAAGTCCTATAGTGTACAACACAACATCGTTGTTGTTTCAAATTTTTTATAGCGAATAGCATAAAATAAGATAATATGCTCATAATCTCAGCAGTAGAATATGAGGACTCGGTAAACATTATGAATGAATGTTGTTCAAAGAAAAGCTCGTGATTAATTTTTATTTCAGTTTCTTAGTTAAAAATATTAATATTATTTATATGAATATTGTTACACCGATAAATATACCTTAAATTCTGTAAAAGCTATATTAGCTTGAAAAATTATTGATAGTGGTGCCACAACTTATTTTTTCACCATTTAACTTACTTGGCTAACTAGAGAAGAATGGTCGTTCTGGTCCAATTAAGAGTGCCCTTATAGAACTGAGCTTGAATTCTCACAAGCGAAGGATATTGAAATCCGAACTTAAGCTTACATTGTAGAACCTGACCCCAATAACGATTTATCTCAGAACTTCCCTGTG